TTGTTAAATTTATCCTACCTCTGGAGAAAAAAAGTCCATGAAACTGCAAAATTCTCACATTTATACTTTCCACCCATTCTCACCAGTGTAGATGTTCTCATATGTACTTGTAAACTATCCATCTATTTTTTTTTTAACAAAAAAAAACTGCAAATGTTTATTTAGTGGAACATTTTCAGGTTCAAGCCTAAATTTTAAATGGGCAAAAAACCCTTTATAAAAACAAGCGCACCTGCCACCCCCCCCCCCCCCCCCCTTCAAAAGAAAAACATGTGAGCCTAATGTAGGCAGCAAACTACGGAAATTCAATTTTCTGGGTAAGAACCATATATGCAGACGTTCTCCCTATCATTCTGCAGAGAGAAAAACAAGCAGAGGGTGGTTGACAGGTGCTCTGGTGTGATTTGCTCCTTCTTTCCTGCAAACATCTAATGCCTTCATTTATCCTCCTTCTTTTCTTTGTATGTTACACTCGTATAACAGCTCTCAGCTTCAGCACTTAAATGACCTTATTGTGTTGCAGGTGCCTTAAAACTCTCACTAAAACTAAATCGAAAAAGAAAAACAAGAAAAACGCCCCTCACCTCGAGAAGTTCGAGATTGGCAAAAGCCATGATTCCCTCAAATATGACAACATTGGCCCCATAGATTGTTTTCTGTGGAGGAAAACGTAGAAGTCAAAATGAACGCATTGCACGCTTGACGAGTTTTGGGAAACTCAATCTGGGACACCAACATTATATAATCAGTTTACATAACAACGAATAAAATTACAATAAGTGGGGCTGGTTTTAGAGTAGGACATGCGATACGGCTCTCAAATTCTTGATTACTAAACGCAGGACTGTCATGTGAAATTTAGGAAATTCTGAAAGCCTATCGCCACCATCATAACATTAGTACACTCACAGTCAGAAAATGACAGAAGAATAAAAATTTTGTTTGGGAAAGACCTTTGGTATGTTTGAGTAAAGAGAAGCACATCGGCACAATAACCGTCGAATAGTGCAGGGAAGAAAGCAAGACAAAGACAGACAGAGAGAAAGAATGGACAGAGGGAGAAGAAGTAAGACGTATTGCTGACACCCTCCAACTACCTGCAAAACCTATGGCCTTGACGTAAAAAATGATAGCACCATATACCGTCAAACCTGTTCTACAGCTCAACTATCGCAAACAACCCCCTGAACAAATTACCATTTCCCACCTAAGGTTTTTTTCTATTATAATAAAATAATTACCCTGTTTCTACCTGTCTAAAGCAAGCTTTTTTTTCTTTGGTCTATTTCGATGATTTCAACTGTGCTTTCACAAAGCCACATCAGGGAATAAAAGCATTGTTGTCTCTGAGCAACACCTTAAACAGAATAAATAAATTCCTGAAACTACAATGCATCAAAATGAGAAATGATATCAAAATATACAATAAAATTTTTAAAACCCCAGAAGACTACAAGCACTCAAGAGCAGGAGACAGAGAGAAAGAGAACAGAACAATATCGACAGCTAGGAGTAAAGACTCTACCACATGCCACTATGAAAAGTGATGCAAGAATGAGTCTTACGCCGAGCAGTCGATATGAAGAAAGATATAGTTACAAAACTGAAACGCTCACCATTTCCTTCTCTCTCGCATGTGTGGCAAAATTGTAGATAGGCACATTGATGCTCTTGCCGTCTTTTAATCGCCGGATTGTGGAGACCATTAGGTCAAAGTCAAAAGCATCGGGATGGTCAAAGTTATACTCATTCTGCCCAGCCCTCTCGTGCTGCTCATGGTTAAGAACCTGCCAGTCCAGGACAGAAAGAGAGAAAGGAAAAGTATGCATATGGGTCTAAAGTCCTAAACAACACTTCAAGTTTAGGTCTTTTAAGAGGCGAGAACTCTAAAATTAACATCCGTCTCCATCCAATGGGACTGAGCCAAACGGGTTGAGAGCCTTGAGAACTCCAAAAACGTCCAAAATTCAAGAACGCCCAGCCTGAGATTCAAACCAGGGCTATTTACTCCGTAGTCCACCATGATACCAACTCCGTAGTCCACCATGATACCAATTAAGCTATCAGAGCACCCTCAAGAGGAGGGAGACAATAAGTTTTGAAAGACAGCAAAAAGCAAGTTTCACTGTTTTTTGCTGTCAATCAATAAACAAGACACAGACCGGAGGTTCTTGCATTTCAAACACACATGTGAGACTCAGTTAAAAGCACACATGTGAGACTAACTACACTTGTCTACAGTTTTTAAAAAACCCAACAAAAATAAGAAAATAAATCAGCGGTTAAAAGGAAAACAATAAAAACTTAACCTCAGTATATTCTAAACCAATTTACTATAAAATAACTGTAAATCATTACAAACTTACTGTAAATCATTGCAAACTTACAATATATTAATTAGGTAGAGCATCTCTACTAAAAAGTAGGATCAATTGACATTATTGTTGCCTCTATTGCTAAAAAGAAAATTTGAGATAAAATACGATGACAGATCTTTATTGTCTATACGCTGGCACATTGATTTGGTGTTACATACACACACGCATGCACAAACGCGTACCCATACATACACACACACTCTTTTCCCTAAGCATATACACATACACACATAAATACATGCTTACACTCACAAAAAGATCCAGTCACACACATGGTAAATGAACCAACCCCCCCCCCCCCCCACCCCCCAACCCCTTTCAAAAAACAAAAAAAA